TAGTGCAAATGTATATATGTACATGGTTATACAATATAAGGATAGGATGATAAAGGTTTCTTTAGTATGTAGACTCTTAATTTTGTTTTACGAGTATTCTACCCTTCCTCCATAAGGTGGTTCCTTAAGGTATCATGGATAACACATAAGGGCAAAGGCACAAGGGCTTCCTTAAGTGGAGCCTATGTGTAGACCAAGACTTCTATCTTGTAGGCCATACAAGGTCTCACCATGAGATTTTATTTTTGGGTGAATGTTCTTAGAGTCATTGATCAAATCCAAGGTCCTATCTTAAAAATAGGCTAGTCCTCCAAAGATATTTCCCTGAATTCAACCCACTCTAAGAGAAGTTGTCACAAAAGCTCATGGGGAGTTAAACCCCCTTGGCCAATAGTCAATCCCTTGTTACTAAGGTTATATCATGCAAATAGATCCCACCAACAAATATATAACAATATAATAAATTAAAGAAGCAATAAATATAATAAATGAAAGAAACAAATAAATAAAACCAGAACAAATAAAGAAATAAAATTAAAAACTCAAGAAGTCTTATAGCTATAGGTAGGATAAACTTTAACTTGAGTGAAGTCCCCAGCAGAGTCTCCAGCTGTCGTAACCGGAAAAAAAAATAAGAGAGTCACTACTACTACTTATTTGTCCTAAAGACGGGAAAGGAATGGAAAAAATCATAATTGTTTAGAGATCGATGGATTCGAAAGTTGATTAGATAAAGAGGAGGTGTTAGGCACCCTATACCTCCCTTGTACTCAAGGAGATCCTTTTTAGACCTAGAACTTATGAGGATTACTTCTTTATTCAATCATCAAATGTAGGAAAAGAAACGGAGAAAAATAAGTTTTTTAAGTTAGTGGAATCGTCTTGGTTTTTCAACCGTGTGCCTACGTATCTTCTTAAGAAGAAGTCAGAGTCCTTCGTAATTCGAATGTGTTTGGTTAGTATTTTTCTATAGGATTGTGTTAAATTGCTCTCGAATTATTTTAAACTTGCATGAGTTTGAAAATTGAGTGATGATAGACGAAATTTTTGTGTTCATATAAAAAGACACCGGATAATCCCTTATTGAAAAAAGTCTTGAATTTTGATTATGTTAGTAAAAAAAGTTTTTTGATTAGTTAGATGTTTTAAGTTTGATTTAATTTGATTAAAAAAAATGACAAACAATAATTAAATAAACAAGTAACTGAAAAAATGAATATTAGATTAGTAATAATAGTTTTAAAAAAATTATTATATCAAAATTATTACCCAATCGAACTAATTAACCTTGAATTTAAGTTTCCTTTTTTAAAAGAATAATGGCTAATTATAAAAAATGATTTCTTTAGTTTTATCAACATAGTTATAAAATTAGAGGTTATATTTTAAAATAAAGTTAGTATAAAAATTGTTTGACAAAATAGGAGTTTTACAGGAAAAATATATATCTTTACAACTTATTAAATAAAATAGATAAAACAATTTACGAAGATATTATAATAAAAATTACAAAAAATAATTAATAAATGAAACTAGAGGAAAATAAATTAGAAATTTAAAAAAACAAGGGATGCATTGTAGTTCAACATAGTAGTTGGAGGTGTGTAAATAACAACAGGCTAAGTCCATGATAATGTTTGAATCTGTTTATATATCGTATGGGTGATTCAGGGTTGTTATGGCGTGCTAGCGAGACTGAAGTGTTTGATTTTGATCAAAGGGGTTTTAAGAGTTAACTATGGGATGTTAATCAGAAGTATGACAAACAAAGGGCTATGATTGGATGTTGACCAGGGTGTATGGTGGAGCTACATGTACGGTGCCTAGTCAATGGTCATTTGATCGTGTGGCCAGTGAATGGCTACATGTCACTCATCGGGCGAACGATAGAGGGAGTATATGTTTTCGCTTGCTTCACAATATTTTCATTTTTCGTTTTATTTTCTCTCTCGTTTCCTACGCTCTCTCTCACTCTCCCAAACTCCTAACAACCTTGGCCCGCCAAAAATCGCCCCACCGACGGCGCCACCCCCAAACCATCGTAGGTTGCAGTTTTCCGGTTAAACTTCAACCACAAAATTTAAAGATTTAAACTTTGCAAACCCATATCACTCCAAACCCTTAGAACCCTAACGCTAAACCTATGAAGGAGGAACTCAAGACCGCCGTGAAGGATGAATGTTCGCCGGGAACATCATCCATTTTCTAGAAATTTGAATAATCTATGCCTAACCCTTAAAATCCTAACCTTACTTTAGAACATTAACCCTAACTTTTCCAGATTCAACATTTTATGCAAGCAGATTCAACAACAACACCAAACACGACAAATTATTGAAAGCTACGTATTCACCAACCTGGACCGCAATGATTCTTTTTGTAAATCCTTTTGTCTCCTTTGATATCCAACTTCTAATCTCGTTCTCCTTTGTTTGTAGGTGCGAAGGGTGTTGGATGCGCAACAAGGATGCGAGGGTTCTCTAATTCTTTTTGTCTTTACTTCTGTCTCAAATTTTTTGTCCTTTTCTCTGTATTAGACTTATGATTTTATAGGCTTATGATAAGATTTAGATTAGGAAATAGTTTAAGGTTGATTTGTTGTTACAAGTTTGATTAGAATTAGATTTAGATTTGATTGATTCTGTAATATTTTTAGAATTAGAGTTTGAACTTGTAATGTATCTGGATTTGTTTCTGTACGAATTCATAATAAATCAATGAAATATATTTTCAATATTCTGATTCAGTATGATTTGATACAAAAATATGAATTTTGGGCTTTTGAATTAGCTTAGGGCAGAAGAACTTGACGCAACTATTGGATTTAGGGTTTCCAACTCTAAAGTTGACTTCGATCAGTGTTTCTCAATAATAATAAAACAACAATAATAAAATAATTAATGAATTAGATAATAATAACTCAATAAAATGAACTAATATGAAAGTGTTGACCTCCGGTACACCAAACCCCAAAAATAAACAATAATGATAATATTTGTTAAAATATTTAAAATAAAAAGTTATTATTTCCAAGTTGACTTTTGATCAACCGAAAAAACGATTTATTTTAAAATGAAGCATAACCTATAAGTTAAATGTAAAAACTAATCCAAATAATATTTTTAAAAAGGATTTAAATAATAAACCCCTAAAATTAAACATCTATTTAGAAAACACCTAAAATAAATTATAATCCAAAAATATATCAACATATTTATGAAAAGTAAATTAGTATATATAATTCAAGAAAATAAGCTTGTATTTAAAATTAAACTAAACATGAAAATGAATTAACATACCCATAATATATATATATATATATATATATATATATATATATATATATATATATATATATATATATATATATATATATATATATATATATATATATATATATATATATATATATATATATATATATATATATATATATATATATATATATATATATATATATATATATATATATATATATATATATATATATATATATATATATATATATATATATATATATATATATATATATATATATATATATATATATATATATATATATATATATATATAAAAGTTATTTAGACATTAGAAATGATTTAAAATTAGTAGGAATGACCCAAAGAAAATTCATAGAACCAAGTAAACAAATATATCTGAATGTAAAACTAAGATGGATAAATTTGGGGTATGACAATAGACAAATATTTTTGTGAGGAAAGATCTTTTGTGAGTGAGGTGTTCTTGTAATTTTGGATAGGTAGCATTGTATAAGTTCCCCAAAAATGTTGTTTATGCATCTTGGATGAACACAATTTATTTATGGACAAAATATGTTGTTAAAAGTTAAAGCCGTTAAAAGCTTTGATTGGGAATTGTGTGATCAATTCTTATATTTATTTTTGGGTTGAAGATCGTCAATATTGATTAACTTCCCTTAGAATCTTAGCAAGTCTTATTTGTTTAATATTGATGAACTTATCATTGGTTCATGGTTAGCCTCTTTAAAACTATAGGTTAGAAGATTAGCATGTTAAAATTTCAAGAGATTATTGATTATCCTATTAAATCAATTTGAGCTTAGTTATTTTTGTGGAACTTGGAGACTAATCACTACAAGGGCCACTTTGTGGAGAGAAGACTAATCACTTCAATCTACAGTTGGGAAGAAAGCTTGGCCACTTCAGTCTCAACAATTTTAATGAAGAAGACACAAACGATCATATCTTCCGTCTTGTAATATTTTGTTTGTAAGACAACCACAATTTTCTTGTATAAGAGGGTTCGTGAGCTTTACCTACTAAAAGCTCTCAAGCATATAATAAAAACTTAACTTTCAAAATCAATTCTTGAAAAGAGAAGTAGGTCTTTTATTTATTAGTGAGTCTCTATAACTCTTGGTATTCTTCTTCCTTTAAACTCTTTAAATTGTGTATTTTATTTCAATAATTATTTTCTACTGCTTAGATACAGAAAAATATTTTCAAACTTTGATATTAATCTTGAAAAGTTTTCAAAACATGTTTTTCTAAATCACATAATTCATCTCATCTCTTGTGTGTAAAGTCTCGAGTCCAACATACATCTCCCTCTTTGAAATTATTAAGACGGAAAATAAACACAATCAAACACATAGATCATGTATACCACTTGAGAAAAAGGAAAGAAAAAGAAGGAGAAGATGCATGTAGCATATATTAATCCATGCTCTCATCCTTTAAAATTTAGCGAAACCTTACTTTGTATGAGCTCCTCATATCAACCAAAAACGGACAGCCAAACTGAAGTCACAAACCCCAATGTTGAGCAATACTTTAGAGCCTTTGTTCATGCCAAGCCAAAACATGGTTCTGTTTCTTTTACCATGGGTTAAACTACACTACAATACTATGTTTCACACTGCTTCAGGTATCACACCATACCAAGCCATGTTTGGCTAGCCCCCTCCAACGGTTCCTTTCTACATTGGGGGACCCTAAACTGTAGAGGCATGTGACACAATGCTTTCTTCCAGGGGTGACATTCTCAACCTTCTTCGTGAGAATTTGTCTGAGGATCAAAATCACATGAAGTTGTTGTATGCAAATGCTAATTGTAGAGGGGTAAATTCTGAGTGTGGTTCTCGGGTTTACGTGAAACTCCAACATTACCATCATATTTCCTTGTCTGGTGAAAAATACAACATACTATCTATGCGGTACTACAACTCGTTCATTACTCTAGATCGTAGCGGTGTGGTGGTATCCAAGTTAGAGCTCCCTACAAATTCAAAGATCCACAATGTATTCCATTGTTCTGTCCTTAAAGTTCACCAAACATACATACTAATCGGAAGGAGAACAAACATACTAATCGGAAAGGAGTGAAAAAGACATAATTAGACTATGTCATTATCTCCATTATCAGAGTTATGATTTTACTATGTTAGTTAAGCAGTTAGTAAAGTTTGTTACAACTGATGATGTTCTAACTGACGTTTCAGGTTATAGAAGATTGATTGGCAGGTTAATGTATTTAACCATTTCCAGAACTGACATTGCATGTACAGTGAATAAATTGAGTCAGTTCACGCAAAAACCTCGTGCCATTAACTTGACTACAGTTCATCACATCTTGAAATTACCTCAAAGGCACACCTGGAAAAGGACTTTATTTTCTTGCAAAATCCAATCTTAAACTCTACTTTTGCCGATGCAGATTGGAGAAGTATCAAGAAAATCCACCACTGGTTTTTGTGTTTTTCTAGGGAATGTTTTGGTAACCTGGAAATCAAAGAAGCAGCTCACAGTTGCCAGACCATCTACAAAAGCAGAATATCGTGCTCTAGCATCTTACCTCAGAGCGCCTCTGGTTTAAACAACTTTTGAGATCCTTCAAGGTTGATTAACTAACATTCAGCTATGGTACTGTGATAATAAATCTGTCATACAACTAGCTATGAAAGATCAAAACATATACATGCACAATATGCGTACATGTATGGACCACTAGCTGTTTGTTCTACCCAAATTATTTCCAGAGTGATAACAAAAAATTATAAGCATATACGAAAAAGTAATACCTTTGCTATAGAAATAGCTTATACATAAGCGCTTCTGATAAGCACCTATGATATAAGCTGCAAATAACCTACTTATCCAAACATTGCTGTATTTAGACCGGCATCTGCCAACTTACCCCACCAATGTGGAACTCACAAGTTCTCAAGTTTGACAGAATGTAGTCCTTTCATTTAACTAATATAGAAATACTAATCATGCACCAGATTTTGTAATATGGTGTCATAATAGAGACTGAAATAGAAGAACTGGGTATCTACTACCAGATAAAAGCTGCATTAGCAAGATACAAGACTACAACACCATACACCCGTCTATTTTCAAAGAAGCTAAGCAATGTAAACTTTTGAAACATGTATGTCGATAATAAAATCACCTAAGAAATGAAACTGGGAAGGGGAAGGGATGGTAAGCCTGAGTCATGCTTTTCCCTGGATGCCGGTTTCTCTTAGGTGAAAATTTGAGACCATGAAAATCCAATCAAAATTCTTCCATGGTTGAAAATGGTATACGACAAATATCTTTCAAACATCTGAGCTTAGAAATGGAATACTTGAGGATAAAGGGACGAATAGTCCACTCTAAGTCAATGCTTTCATGAATTAGTTCATGTATCGAGAATTGCACTTCAACTTTTCCTCTTCAAGCTCTCGTTTTAATGTTTCCACCCTTTCAAGTAAGATTGCATTCTCCTGGAAGGTTGAAAGGTCATTCATTACCACACTTGTAACATTACGAAAACAAATTATGCATAACAAAAGAGAGCCAAAAATAATCTCAACATGTATCGAAAAGAAAGAAAATCATAGTAGTTTTTAGATAAATTTGTAGCATTCTTTTTTGTCTTAACCCTCCAATTCCCAGAGAAAGGGGCTTTGTAATCCGGAGTTCGGCTGGATAGTAAGTAAAGTCTATCCAATGACTGTTTCGGGGTTTACATTTAGGTTCTCTCAAATGATTCATCTTTAACGGGAGCTCATTAAACACTTGAGTCCAATCACTTGGTTAGATAAATTGGTAGCATTTGACTTGAATGAAATAGTCGGGTTTGGCAATAAATTTGATTTTTGAAATTTGGGAATGATAATGCGTTAGCTCAGCATCAGTATCATCAAATTGTGGCGGCATGGCCATTATGGCAGATATACATGGACGGTTTTTGGACTAGCCACAATGGTAAATATCGGCCAATATTGTGGGGTTTTCCACCATAATCTGCTATAACGGCACCGCAAAGCGGCCAGTATGGCAGGATTAGGCTTTCCTCCATTGATAACACTGTTCTGCATTGTGTCTCTAACAAAATTACAGGTTCATAGTGTGGTAAACCTTCAAAAATTCTATCCTTGTTTCCCAAAAAAGGAGAACAAATACAAACGCTACTATCATCGGGAAGCATAATGAAGTTTGATCGAGAATTTATGAAGACATACCTTTTGTAGTACCGCAAATTTATGGTTAATACCAGAACTAGAAGCATCATCCACTTTCCGAGAGGACTCCTTAAACTGCCAAACACAAGATTATACAGGAAAGACAAAGGGAACTGTTAGGTCTTTTATTGGTTGAAAATATAAATGCTGATTTCTACAAGCCTGTTTCAAGATTTCATCAAGTACCAATTTATACCTTGTATGAAAAATCTCATTCCTACATACCAAACTTAAGGCGTCTAAGCGTGAAGAACTACAAACCACAACAGTGTAATACTTGAACCTAAACCTCTCTGGCCATACAATTTGAAAGGTAGAAAGTGAAAAATCTTTGTAACACCAACACCTCCGAAAAAGGTGTGTCTGTGTCCGAAACCAACACCGACACTTGTGATCACATTTAATTTATTTATTTTTTCAGATTATTACGGGCTTCGATGTGTCAGTGTTGGTTGGTGTTGTGTTTCCAGTGCCCGTGCTTCATAGGTGAAAATTATAAGAGAACACATACCACTTGAAGTTCCTTGGAGCACTTATTCGCCCTATCTACCTCCAAATCATACTTTTGCCTCCATTCAGCAGATTCATCCATAGCCTCCCTATTAGCAATATCAAACTGTCGCCTACATACACAGTTTAGTTGAGTGGACCAATCATCATTACACTAACATACACAGTTTAGTTGAGTGGACCAATCATCATTACACTATACGGGACAAGACACCAGACAGAATACTGACACTAATAATATAATTTGAGAACATAGAAATGATTGAATGTAACTGCATGTTCACACGCGATCGTGTATGTATCAGACACCAGACACACTTTTAACCTCAAATGTGAGCACTACATAGGCTAAGGGTGTCATTATAAGTTAAAATGGAAATTGAAGCATTTCATGTGTAACAAAACTAAACTTTGATATGGGAACTCATAGATCCTAATTGTGACTAGTGAAGTAACATTCATAGAAAAAGTATATAATACACAATTTACGAGAATTAAGAGAAGAAGATGAAGGAACGAACCTTAAGATTTCAGAGTCATCAATAGAAATGTTGTAGTCAATAGCCCAAAGTCTGAAATAGACAGCAATACCCATGAACATAAGAAAAGCCAAGCTCACTAAAGTTGATCTTCTTTTCATTCTAACCATTCGCTTTTTCCTTCTTCGCTCGCTTTGATTCTTGATCTCCTTGTGTTTACCTAATAAGCGTGTTTGTTGTTGGGGTTGGGGTTCTAAGTTTCAAATAACGCAAGGTTTAACCCACTAAGACTGTGACAGAAAGTCACCTACATTCAATTCAACCATGCTTATGCTTATGCTTATGCTTATGCTTATGCGCCGTATCTATATATAATCGCTCACGAAAATTGTACTTAATGTTGTGTTTGGTTTCAATGAAACTTGAAGTAAAGAAAGAGGATGGAGAGAAAGGTTGAAGAATATTTATTTTTCTTTGCTTGGTTGCTATCAAAACTGGAAAGAAAAAAAATATTTGATTGGACCTACTAAAAAATAGTCGTTCTTAAATTGAACGTATCATGAAATAATACTTTTTTTAAATGACATAAATAGGCATCAATGTGTTAGTCTCACATCTTTATTTCAGAGTCTATTTTTGTCCATCAATTTTTAAAAAATTGATTTTGTCCATTATCTCTCCAAATCGCGTCACGTTAGTATCTTCTGTTAAGTTTGTTAGTCAAAGTCAAAAAGGGGGAACACTCGGCATACACCTGACGTTGATGTGGATTAAACATTATAACAAAAGTGAAATGTAAAGGTAAAATCTCATTTTGCTTGTAAAACAAAAATCCTAGCAGAGAAGAGAAGTGGAAAGGGAATGAAGGTGATCGAAGGCGAAATTATGGGCGAAGTCAGAGGAAAGAAGCTTACACACCATTATTGACAATGGTTAGTAATTCAGTTTAGGATTTTGTCATGTAATTGTTAGCTGAGTTTTTTAGGTTTAATCATTTTGAAATGTTATCGGTATTGGATGTTAGGATTCCATGCATGCAGTTGTTAAATATTTAGGTATTCAAATGTTAGACTTTATCATTTGATGTTATATTAGTTAACATGATATGCTAATATTTCGTATATCCCCCATTATAATTTCGTATTTGTTGGAAAAAATATGTAGAAATGGAAGAATATTTGTATTTGATAATTCATCGTGCTGGTGAATTCATTGATAACGATTTAACTATGTATGAAGGAGGGAAAATTCAAGATTTAAAAATAGATGTAGATAAGTGGAGTTTTTTTGAGTTAGTAGGTGTACTCAAGGATTTAGGTTATACTGAAACAGATAAAATATATTACAAGGACCCCACAGTTGGGATGAATCATTTGGTTGATGACAAAGTTGTATTAGATATTATTAATCTTTGTAGGGTGCATCTAAGTGTTGATATCTATATCCAACACCCATTGTCTCAACCTGAATATTATGAGGGTCTATTTGATGATGAAGAAGATGTTAATTATGAAGACATTGTAAATCTTAAGGGAGAAGATTTGATTGCAAAACTTTATGAACAAGTAATTAAGGAGGATTCTGGGCTGAAGGATGGTGAGGTGAATGTTGATGTTGGTAAGGGTCGGCATGTGAATGTGAATTCAGGTGATGTTAATGTCAGTGAGGGTCAACATAGGAATGTGAATGCAACCGATGTTAATGTTGGTGAGGGTCAACATCGGAATGTGAATACAGGTGATGTTAATGTTGGTGAGGTGCATAATGATTATGTAAGTTCTGATGATAGTGAGTGTTGGACAAGTGACTTCAAGCGCGAGAGGGGGGAATTGTCGTATTCAAAATTCATGATTAATTTTATACCTTTCTCGATTAAGATTGTATT